GAATCAAATTATTATAATCACTGTATATATGTGAACTTATGTATACAAATGAGAATGGGGAGCTGCTTTTCAGGATGAAATCGCCTAAAAGGCATCAGTTTGCTGAACTTCGTGTTTCTGTTCTCTCCGTAACTGAATTCTAACAATCTTATCAGAGATTAAATGCTAATCAACAAATTAACGTAGAGTACCATTATTATTATTATTGATATGAAATACATATGTCCTTAGATGCTTTACTAATTTAATTTCTTGTTCCTTATAAACAATGTTAAGTAGCCTTGTAAGGGTCATTATTTATTGTTTATTGTTTTATTGGGATTTTCTTGTTATAGTTGTTGTTTGTTCGTTTTAAAAGCGTAAACAACAGTTGGAAACTTGACTGGGTCATTCATTCATTGATTGTTTCACTGGAAAATGTTGTTTTGCCTTTTGATTGGATGATAACATCTCTGCCTATATTATTAAAATGTATCCTGTTGTATATGGAAACATTTCTGGTTGCTTTAACAAAGGAAGAAGAACATATTTAGCGGGAGACTATGAGCTTATCTTTTACTATGATTTCAGGAATTCTTCCAGACCACTAATTACTATTACTACTACTATTACTATTAATGTTATTCCCTTGAGTTTCGAGTGGAACACAGAGTTTCAACAGCAAATCTCTATTTCTTCTTGTTCTGTGTAGTCCTCTTTAGCTGGCTCCGCGATATCTCATACGTTTTCATTTCCTCTCTCCACTATCTCATCTTCGTCCCCGTCGAATGCCCAACCCGTCGTTTTACCACGTGGATTTCCCTCATGGCTGGCTTTATGTGGTGTGTGATGTCCCCCTACGGTCTTCTCAGTGTCTTGTGCCCAATCCATCTCCATTTTCTCCTGCATATTTGTTGAACGATAGCTTCTTGGTTGGTTTGTTCCTACAGTTTCTTGTTGCCAATTCTTTCTCACCAGCCATCGTATTTTCATTATGCAGCCGGCTAAGGCAGATGTTGATAAAAGATTGTAATAGCCTGTTAGAAAATGCTCTTCTTGATGCACCAAGTTTCTGACCCGAGTGTTGTTGCTTATGCTGAGTGCAGAAGATTTCCAAACCGATTTCAAATTGATGAAGGTCTGTGTTAACTTTCGAGTTCTGACTTGCTTTGACACCCTCATCCGTGCCGGCTGTGTGTATTTGAAACGATGCTGTCTAGGTAGATAAGTGAAGGAAGTGAGATCTTTCAAATTTCTTCCCTTGATAGTGATTGGTGCTTGTTGTTGTTGTTGTCATTGGCTGGTTTATTGTCTGTATCACTGACTGTTTACAATCCGTTAAACAATACCAAAATGCCTAATCTATGAAACAGAATTTCAACATACTTTTATCACAGTGACACCAAGTTATTTGATAAGAAATAACGTAAATTCGGAAGGATGAAAGTGATCAAAATTATTCATTGTTGAAATGGATAATTATTTCAAGGATATATTTGACATCATTTGAAGAATATGTTTGAAATATCAGGGAGTACTAGACAGATGTTTTCTCCTAATGTGGGACTCTTCGAGAGAACTCACCTGTAAGTCGTCTTTTGATGGTTGTACCCGGGATCTTTATGTTTCACTGGGAAGAAATCCTGACTGACTGAAGTTTCAACATGGAACATTGGACAAAAGTTCAGCAGCAGTTCAAGTTGCCACACTCCATGAAGCACACAAAGGCAGAAGAAGGAGACAGGAAGAAATGTGATTCTAAAGGGCCATAATATGCAAAATATTTTGGGAGAAAGAATAGTAACATGGAGATACACTGGGGTTTAATGGATATGGGGAATCACAAAGAGTGAATATCATTGGGGTAGATCTTCAGTCATATCGCCACTTCCATCCCGAAGACCCCAATCAGGGAGCCTACACCTCCCCACGTGGCTTGAACTAACTGTCAAAGATTTCATCAACTGATCCCAAGTTTTGGTATCTGTGAGGGAATTATTGAAAAGTAGCTGGTAGTACTCGACGGCTATTTTGTGACTCTTTAGCGGGATGCATTATAATAATAATAATAATATAACAATTACCTGCTCTCATCAAAACCTGACAACTTGACTTCTCTAAAACGCTATAAACCAGGAACATTCTATTCGTCGCCAGTGGGGTACAGCAGGTCGGGTGTGGTGAAAAATAATCGCCAATGACATTGGCTAGTGATCACGCTAAATCGTGAATTGGCAGAAGCTGGAATTCGTGAGCCATTTGATTAGGTCCCACTGGCTTTATTGGTCTACGAGCTAGCTTTGTAACAGGAAGATACTGGTTTCAAACCCCAGTGGGTACGTACTTCCTGATGAGTTTCAAACTAGGCTGACGAAATAGCTGTCCAGTACTCCCTGTATCCGGTTTTCCAATGGTTCACCAACCGATTTCAGCTCATGATGAAATCCAATATTCGAATAAATGAACATGTCTTGCGTATTGTTGAAAAAATATTGTACATTATGCAATACTGAGAGTGTTGATTTTTATTTGTCTCTTTCCTTTGGAACAGTCATCATGTACCAATCCTAACCTACTTTGATCCGATTGTTGTAGTCTTAACAGTGAAGCTAAGATGGCCTAATAAAATACGACCTCTTCTTTGACTTCATAGATTCTAATCGGCTACATACACAAACTAGACAATATCAGAATATGAATTATGAAAGGTCTGGCTGAACATACTTATATCGCGGTGACGTTAAGTTGACGTAATTCCAAAAATCATGTATGTCGACGAGTTATTCAGCGCATAAGAAAGATGCACCCACCGAAATTCGAAACCGGGACATTCCGGCTTCAAAGCGAGCTCATTAACCACTAGGACCCGATTCGATAGCTCATGAGTTACGACTAGTTACTGGAAGTCCTGTGTCCGAATCCCTGTGGATGCGTTCTGATGGAGAGTCCTGAATTAGGATGGAACCACTTTCCAGTACTCTCTGTTGGTTTTCCATGGTTCTTTAAATGACAACAATCCGTGACTAAACTTGAAACTAATCAAAACCGTATAATGTTGTGCCTTTTGAAAATACACTTGCTGATATATTTTTCTTTGTTCAAACTAATAAAGGCAATCGGTTGTCTGAAATTCTTTCTGATGTAATTCTAATTCACCTTTACTGACTATGATTGTATGCCAAAATTAATCGCTGAACAGACAAGCATGTATAGGAGTTTGAAGAAGAATTTACTACAAAGAATAGTTCTCTCTAGTTGTTTGTATTCTGAAGCTCATGCGAAACCACTAGATAGCTGATATCAAATCAACAGTTCCAGAGATAAATTATCCAGCAATATGATTGAGATAACTTACTGAATGAATTGTTCAGATTACAGTTGACCTCATATGGAATTGAACGCAATTGTATTTCTATTCCTCTCCGATTTATTCTCTACTTTCCTTGCCTGTGAGGAACTAAATTATTTAATTTCAATCTTTAGATTTCGTCACGAACACTAACACCATTTTGGGGAGAGATCAATGGACAGTAAGGAGGACTAGACCGTTGTTTCGTCCTATTTCGAGACTCTTTTGAGGTGTGCACTCATGAATCCACCAGGAATTGAACTGGAAACCTTGAGGTTACGAGACTGCTCGTTGATGATCCACCCACCTGGGCTGGAATCCAATGACTTGTGGTGAGCTGCCTAGAATGATGGCCACATTGCAAACCTGACTGATAGAATTCAGTCTGCTCCATAGAAAGGACTAGACACATCACACTAGCTACGAGTGTCCAGTCAAAGAATTCTAACTTTGTCAACTCGTGGTATAGCACTTACCCTTGTGGTGTGATGCAAATTGATAGGTAGCGGCCCAAATTAAAATCAACATTTCAGGTCAATACTCGAAGAAATAGAAGTGTCTATTCCTCAAACGTGGAAACAATCTGATTGGACCACTTGTTTAACCATGGGCGACCAATCGCTAACCAATCACAACAATTTATTCTCCTCTGAATATCTAGTCAGTGGAATTTGAATATGGTTAAGAATGCATAGTTGAAATGATGATTTCCAGGTTATTGAAGAAGAAGACTTCCTTCAGAATACTCCCACTGATAGTGTTTAGTGTGGTTATTATATTTCTGAAAGACACAATCTTCTTATATAAAGCTCTGGTTCTTTCAACACTAGGCAATAATAATTCTTACACAATCTCATCGTTGTTAGTTACTTTTACGTAGTTTTAGATATAATAAAAAAACTGTGTTGAGTGAGTAATACAGCTTATATAAGAGAAATATACAAAGATAAGCTGGTACATGCGAATTTGACATTTCCTACTTTGTAGAAAAGTCATCGGTTCAGTTTAACACTTGACTTTGATTCATTCTAAATTACCACGAAGAAAACGCCTAGAAATTCAGTTAGCTGGAGGGAGGAAAGGAAACAGTTCCAATTCCAATTTAATTGGTGGATGGTGACTAGCAGTGGAATCCAGGATGCGCATTTCGTCCTATTTGGGACTCGTCAACTGGGTGCACCTGCATTCCCCAGTGAGTGATGATGTTCCCGATGAGGCTCGAACCCAGCGCCCACAGTTTCAAACGCCAAAGCGAAAAGATGTTTCAATTTCCCATAGGAATGCCTATAGTAGATTAACCAGAATCTGTATGAGTACCAGTTATAGGACCCACTAATTCTGTCGAATGATGATTGACTTTATGATGAATATACCCTGATCATGATAGTCACATTGCTCAGCACTTCAAATAGACACTGTCAATAATCTCCGTTGCAAGTTTCACCCTAATCTTGACTAGCAAGGTGAAACATGCAACGAAGAGTACGAAAAGTATGCATTTGTAATGTTAAGCGATCTGACTGATTGGTTCAAGGTCATTTGTCTGTGGTATCTATTCTATACTCTTGCGACGTGAATAGAATTAAAGACGATTCATTTCGATATGTTCCTACACAATAATAACGCAACTAACTGGAGGTTTTGTTGTTTTTCTTTTCAATTTCTAACAGAAATGCCACCTAGTCCTCCACTGCCAACATCTCAGTCGGGTTCTTATCATTCTGCACTTAGTAATTCTGCAGTTTCTGTTGGCGTAGGCATAACCTCTGCAACACTCAATCCAGCAGATTGGTCATCACAAGCAATTGGATCGGTTACCACAGAGTCAAGAACATCCACACGAGACGCTGCTAACCATCAACAACACTGGGCATGTTCACATTGTACTTTTCACAATCATCCAGCTACTGATGAATGTGAAATGTGTCGTCTTCCTCGAAGTGGATGAACCATATTGATTGGCATGCGTGTATTCAATGCATAACAACACAACAACAGAAGAAAGAAAGAACAGTCTGAATGAAATGAATTATTGTTTTCACTTTGTGATTTTTCTTTAAATCATCCTAATGTTTGTATCCTTTAATGATCTTTATGAAATGGAAAATGAAAGGAACCGCCGTCTGTTTATGCGTTTGTTTGCCTGTGTGTGTGTGTGTGTGTGTAAACAACCGATGTCTTTTATTCTTTATGTGAAAAAATACAGATCTTCAGTTGTTTCTTTTTTCATATCTATGCGTCATGGTGTCTTGTTTTGTTTAGTGAACAATAAAAGTTTACCTAAGGCATTCATGAAAGTCAGTATTAGTAGATTATCAGCGTAAATAATAACGAGTTTGTCTATACTCAAACCTATTTAAAGTGTGACGAAGGTGAATCCGCCAACGTCGCCTAGCTTAAAGACAGGTAGTGAAGCGGTACGGCGTGTTGAAATTGCATTTCAGCTCCAATGAACTGATTGCTGACAAAATCTCAGCAGGGATACACAAACCGCTCATGTGGAAATTCACCAACCTACGTACGTCATCTCTGGCGCCATTTTATCCAGCTTTCGATGAAGGAAGGAGGTTCGGATTGCACAGAAGTTCACTCTGTCCTCCTTCATGGCTGGCTGTGAGACTCGGTCACTGAAAGTGGAATATATGAAAAGGTTAGCTGTCTTTGACCACAGATGTCCCCGTTCTATCTCCCATGTTAGGTGATATAATATGGAAAGCAATATCAAGGTTAGGATGTCGAGTGCTAGGTGAAGAGGGAAAATCAATCGATGAGGTTGTGAAGCCAGATGGATTGAGATAGCTAGAATATGGATTACGTAGTATTTATTATTTTCCGTTTAAAACACAAAACCCAGTACAATATGGCACCAAGAAGATGCGCCACACAATAATAGTAAAACGACATATGAGGAAACACAAGGTGGACAATGAATAAAGGATTTTATCTGGGAAGAAAGCAGTTATATTTGACAAGACCAAACAGCATTCGTCAGATTATTTTCAGAAAGGGAAGAAAGAAGAAAAATTGCAGCACGTCGTTCGCCATTGATTGCGATTCTTGGCATTATCCGACAACTTTTGAGCCACCGACTCGAGTTGTCTTTAGGACCCCAACCAGAGAGTCGTGACTCACCGATCGATGCTAATGTACCACAAATATCCTTCATCCCACGACGTATTCCACCCTAGCTTTCATGATACGGTTGGAAATCTCATCCGTCATCCCTCCACCAGCACTGACACAAATACCCAGATACACGAGCTTATCGACAACTTCACGCGATTCACCTGCAAGAGTGAGTGCAGGCACAGACTCCTGCCAATCTTCTAACAGTACTTTGCAGTTAGATGGCGGAAAGCACATACCATACTTACAGATACTGATCATCAAGTGATTAAGTGCGATTTGGGCAGCCTGTGTGCTATCGCACAGCTAGACGGTATTGTCTGCATCCTGGAGGTTGAAAGTTCACGTGCTGCGCATGCCTAGCCATCACCTCCCGACGGGCATTACTAGCTGATAAAGGTGCATAAATAATGCAAAAACATGGCATCAATCATGAAATCCCTGACAGTTAACTGAGTCAGGTAGGGAGATGCAGACTTCCGGGTTGGGGCCCTCGGGACTCTAAGAATCAATGGCTGGAGACAATAGGTGACATGGCTCAAAATCGTTGTCAATGGCGCAGATGTATTCAGTCTCTGTAATCTTTCATATTTCTTCCTACCATTACTCATTCTGTTTCACTCTTATACTTATCTAAATTCTATTGATTCTCTTCTCTCATTTTCTTGTCTACCTTTGTGTGCTATTTGGAACGTGGCAACTCGAACTGCTGCACTTCGGTGCCAAGTTCTATGTTGAATCCAGCAGCAGCAGCAGGAGGTTGAAAAGTCTTTCTCTTTCTCTTTCTTCACCACCACGCACGTCCTTCAGGGTTGACCCCAGAATGTCATCGATGGCAAAGTTAAGGAGAAGTGCATAGATTGGCCAACCCATTCTAACCCCACTGTCGGTTGGCAACAGTGATGATAACTGGTTGTATACTATCACTCAACCTGAGGTATTTCTATATACGGACTTCAGGATATTAAAAAACTCCCCAGATACACCCGGTCTCTAACAGACAGTTCCAGAGAACAGCTCTGTCCAACGAATCGAAGGCAGCCCTGATATCAAGAAACCCAACAATTGTTGGCCTGCAGTACGTGTGGCCGTGTTCCAACAACTGATGAAGGGTGAACACATGATCAGTGCACCCACAGCCTGAACGAAACCCAGTCTGCTCTTCGCGAATCGACTTCTAATGTGTTTTACACACCCTGTGAAGCAAGACAGCAGCCAATATTTTAGACGCGATTGGTAGCAAACTGATACCCCTATGCTTGTTGCGTACGTTACGTCGACCCTTTTCAAAGATGGAGGAGGTGATGGCTTCATTCCACATTGATGGCACACCCTCAATTTTCCAAACTTTCCTGAACAAACCGGTCAAAGCCATGACGAGGATCTCGTCACCACCTTTAATTTGACCTTTGACCGGGAATAATTCTGGAACTTTCTTACCCATTAACTATAAATACATGAACCTACAGCCTAGTTGGTGACTTCGTCAAAAAGAAAATTTTCTTCGCTACAACCGTCTATTAATAATTCCTATGATCCAATGTGCATATTCCGTGAAAATGTCTTGAAGTACCTCTTACTGACTTGTTAAACACACTGGAATTATGTTAAGTAATTTTGTGTTCTGACAGTTTTGAGTGTAAACTGCTTATCCTAAATTATTACTATTTCCCTGGCTTCTGGACGGAACATAGCGCTTTAACAGCACATCTACATTTCACCCTGTCCTTTTCAGCTGCTGACTCCACACGATTGACCATAAGCTTTCACCTGCACCACACACGAACACCTCCATGTTACCCTCCAACACACAGGCCAAACTTGTTTCCCATTTGGGTTCCACCCAACAGCTAATGCGGCGTGTGAAATTACTCAATGCATATCCAATCCATCTCCGTTTACTACTGCATCAACTTAACTATAGAGGAGTAAAGAGAATGAAAGTGATCTAGAGAATAAGACATTAGACGATCCTCAAGTGTTTCTTACAGTAGCGGCTCTACAACAAAGAAGAACTCATCAATTTGGCATTAGGCATATTTGGTTAATTAAATTTTATAAAAATACATCTTCGACTCTTATGAAATATGTTACAAGTTTTGTGCGATAAAGTTAGTATAATCAACGTTGAATCACACTTGGTGAGTGAAAGTAAATGGTACCAACATTGAGCTTGAATCTGATCATCTGTGCAAAAATTATTGACTTTCACGACATCGATTTCTAAAATTTTCCAAAGAAGAAATCGCCAAGTGTTTCCATCACATTACAATGCAGAGATTCATTGTCTTCGACTAAATGCACCATACTTTGCATATCCAAGATCATAGCATCGAGAAGGTACATCCTTCGCTCATCTCCTGGTGGATGGATATACACACTACATACGTTCACCGGTTTGTACATCAATCCAACATCTTAACCTAGCAGATTTATTGAGTGCTTGTATAACTGACTGAATATAACTCCAATGGGATGGGAGTGCTATTAAAGATTCCACTGATTTCCATTCTACTGAAGGGAGGTTTGTCGTTAAACTACTGAACCAATTGGACCATGATTCTCCGATTACAGATAGTTGACAATAGTGTACACTTTCGCCCGACTCCAGGTTATATGTTGAGTCCTATAAAATAAAACAGTATCGGATTAAAAAGAGAAGCTAAGATATAAAAATGTCATGTCAACACCTCTGGAAGTAAAACAAAATTCCCGTCTGATGCCATTTTGAAACTGCCATTTATCACCAGACCAGAATTCAACTTATAACTTTGTCACCCAGATTATTATGCTCTTAAATGCCGCATTTATTCATTTATGAAAACAAAATTGCTACACTATGGACACCAAGAGATGCACCACACAAAATCTTATAGTTTGTGCGAGCGCCAGGAGACAGCTCGGATTCCCAGGCCAGAGCAAGTGGTTGTCTTAGGGGGCCATTTCCCGAGCCTCCACTTGAAGTCTGACCCATAAGGTAGTGGGGCAGAGTAAGACGCCAAGTCTCTGCAGTTTTCAGTGACCAAAACAGGTTCGTACACTGTTTGATCCTTTCAGATTCTGGAGCCCACGTACACCACGGGATATGAAGGAATCAAAGTTTCCCAGCTTCCCTAGGGAAGCCTACATGTCCACCAGTCCGGTAGTAAGCGCCAGATGTTCGCATTCACTCCTCCACTTCTATAAAGAACAACCCGACCGCGTGAAGGCAGTAAGTAGGACTCATCTAGCAGAAGCTATGAAGGCGTGGCCACTTGACAGCATCTCCAGAGGAACAGACTACAGTCTACCCACTCTCAGCCATACTTTCAAAATCTGAATCGAATATAATCAATATTTCCATTACCAGGTTTTAAAAATATAAACTTTCGACTCAATAATCACACGTGTATTACGAATTGTCCTTAAAAATATTGTCCAGAAGATCACACATTCAAAGTAGTTTAGTTCAAACTATGAATTTTGACAAAACAATAAGAAAACATCATTTAATCTGAAACGTTTAGGACATTCTCACCACACATGCACTTATAATAAGTATCTATATAAAAGTTAACAGTATAAAGATTCAAAACTGAGTCAATACAAAAAAGAACTGTTTGAGGGTCAAAATCACAGTTGAGGTGAGAAGAAACCAAACGGGTGAAATTATTATTCCGTGAAATACACCTTCGCTTTAGCATTGGATTACAAAGGCAGGCTCAAAGTAATAATAAATAATTTCGGAACAAGTACTGTGGTGAGAGCGGTCTACTAGCCAAGTGGTGGACAGTAATTGAGGTCAATGTTTATGTATCAAATATTAGTCATGTTGTGGTGAGA